CACACACACACACACACACACTCGCTAACCTTAATAACACAACATTCTCCTCATCCCTGACCCTCATAGATAGATATGCCTCCAACATAGGACAGGTGTCCAGGGTTGACTCATTCCAGAAAGTGGCAGGGGAGAGGACCCAGCTAAGAAGAGCTGTGAATTTCACTTTTTTTCCCGTTTTTATTTTATTTTTTCTCCCCAATTGAAAGGAAAGGAGATTAAGGAAGAAAGACACTTTGAGACCTGCCATATCCTGAGAGTTTTGAGAGTTTTGTCACAAGAGTACTTACCTGCCTGGGAAGCCACAGATACAGGGGGTCCAGTGAGTGGCAGTGACCCTGGTCTCAGGATAAGACATGCTATGAGAAATTTGGGCGTCAGCAAGTTAATTTCCAGAAGCTTCTGTGGGTATGCATGGAACCAGGGAGCAGGGCTTGCCACATTGTGACTGGATCACCTTCATTCCTAACTTTTCTCCCGAGGGTCCTTGTCTAGGTCCTGTCACTGCCTCATCTTTATGAAGTTCCCCAGATTGTGTGTGGACAACAAAGGCTGGGCTGCCATGACCCCTGCACTGCTACAGCCTTGCCTGGTGGCTGCTCTGACCTCTTAGCAGGATGCAGCGCCCTCTGCCCGTGCCCTCTGAGGGGGGCTCTTTGTTCTTAAGAGTCCTGAGGATGGTGAAGGCAGCAGTCTGCCTGGGCTATAAGCCCCTGGGGTGATTCCAGGGTTGGGTTCTTCCTTCAGAGAGGAGGAAGGGAGGCCAAGAAACCAGGCATAGGCTCCAGAGAGAGTCTAGAAATCCATCATGGTTATGTGGGTCTTCCCATAACCTGAGGAAATAGTGAAGAGGAAGATGGTGTGAGTAGGCTATACTTTGCTAGCTGCTTTGGGCCAGTAACTTTTCTCTATTGGGCCTCAGTTTCCTGATCTGTAGAATGGGTCTAAGGGCAGAAGCCTTTGCATCCTACCTGGTTGCTGAGGGGATAAGACAGATGTGGGTATGAGAACTCTGAGCATGTATGACCTGAAGGCCTGGCAGGCTCTGTGTACAGAATGGATAGAACACAAAGGGGTTGGATTGGAGGTGCTACAAGCGTTTTCCAGAAGCTGCTCTCTTATCCATGTCTATCACTGTGGTGGCTGATTGTCCAGCCTCAGCTGACATGCCCCCCAGAACAGGGCACTTACCACCTCCAGGGAGCCTTCGGTACATGTCTTCTGCTGCATTTCATCAGGAAATCCACACCTCCTGACCCTCACTCTGGGCTTGAGGCGCTGAGGGCCCTCCAGACCACAGACTCTATTTTTCCTGAATGTGAATGATCATGGGTTCAACACCAGTGCTCAGGCAGACTATGTAGACCCGGGGTAGGAGGATACCCTTCAAATAGCTGCTTTAAGCCCTTACTGGGAGTGACCTGTGGGGATAAGAAAGGGTCTGCCTGAGGGGTTCCCTGTCATCTGCTATTGTATGTGCCTCTTTCTTTCCTTGGAGCTGGGTATGAGAAGCAAAGGGGTGCAAGAGGGTAGGATTGGTCAGGGGCCCAGCTTTGACGCCACAGGTGTTTACTGAGAGTTCACAGTGTGAAGCCTGTTTCTGTGAGGGACCCAGAGGAAGACAGTTCCTGCTTCTTAGGAGCTTACAGTCCAGTAAGGCAGGAACATCAGTCCAAATAAATAATTAACCACTACCAGCTGGTTGCCTGCAAAGGGACACATGATGGCAGTAATAACCACAGCCCCCCTCCCTTTGTACAGCACTTGGTGGATTTAGAAGCGTTCTCTAACTTTGTTTAACCCCCAGTAACAAGCTAGCTACTATTTGGAATTACCCCCATTTAACAGAGAGGAAAAGCAACGTTCAGAGAGGTCAAATGACTTGTAGCAATTCAGGACTCAACCTGAGGCTTACTGTACCAG